TATATTTCAACCAATCACAACTCACCAAAATTGCACCATCGATCACCACAATGACATCAACAATAACAACAACAACAATACCATCACCAACAGCCTATTATGTGTTAATATCAAATAAATAACCTTGAAGAGAACAATGATGTGGACACTAACGTATGTGTGTTAAACATTGCAGTGTTGACAGCTTACCGAGTATATAGGAGTTGCATCCTGCTTGGCAGTTTTTGCCTCTAGATTTGGCAGCTTAAGCCAACCGAATTTTTTGGAGTGTCTACTAGGAGATTTTGGAGTCGCGTCCCACTTGGCCTTTGAAGCCCCTAGATTTGGAAGTCTGTGCCAACCAAAGATTACAGTTTCGGAGTATTTACTAGGAAGTACATACCCACGTCAGCCCCCCTCTGTTCCTATAGCTGCGTAAGCCGAAGTTGTGATGTGAAAAGTTGTTTACTTAATATTAACATGTGTCTAATTTCTTTCTTTTTTCATTTTTCACTAAAATTGTATAGTCTGTTGTGCAACTATCTAAACAGTATATTAGTTTTAAATTTTCTTTTCTAATATAGTTTAGATAGATATTTTGGTAAACTAGCATTTAACTCATGTATTATGAGAGATGTAGGTTCTTTTTCAAAGTTATATCTTAGTATATACATATAATAAAGAACTGATGTTTATCAAAAAAAAAAAAAAACAAATTTTAAAAATCTTTTATTTATTAATTAATTTTATTTTTTATAAACAAAATATATAACTTTCACATGTCTTACCTTATATAACAATAAATCTGATGATGCCATTGAATATAATAAAAAAAACAAGATAATAGGATGTTTATCTTGTTAAAAAGTATTATAATACTTTACTTTTTCTATTAAACTAGTTTCCTTTCTTTTCAAGATCAAAAGAAATCTTATCTTAATTTAGTAACAGGCCTTTTCTATTAATAATTATTCTGAAAAAACATTAAGCAATAATTTCTTAAAGTATAAAACTTGTTTAAACAATAATTTCTTAAAAGAATAAGTCTTATTATAAATATTTTAAATATTTTTAATTGATAATAAAGTAGTAGAAATTAAATAGTTTGTCTAGTTATAAGTAGCAATATAGGATTATTCTAATAAATCAAAATTAATATTGAAAGGTTTTTATTTATTAGAACAAACTTTTCAATTATTATTTTTTTTTTCTTAAAAAAATAAAAAAATTTTATTTTCTAGGATTATATATTTATATTGAAATGACAATCTGAATATAGATTAGTTTGGATTTTTCAAGATAAAAATTTTAATATTTAGTTTTGAAAAGAAATAACTTTTATTATTTTTTATAATTATATTTAGAAAGTTAAGATTTAAAAAGTCTAAAGTAATTAAACTCTTTCCCACCCTCTTTTATACTTGAAAATTTCTTTTTTAGGAAACTTTCGAATTGTTTACTTTTTTTTGCTTTTCTCTTTTCCTTTCTCTTCACTTTATTTCTTTTATATCTCTTTATTCTCCTTTCCTATTCTTTCTTCTCTCTTCTATATACTCTCTTATTTACTTCACCTTTTCCCCTTCTCTTTTTCCTTTTCCTGCCAAAATTAGGTTTTCCTTTCTTTCTAAAGATTTTCTTTTTAGGCTTCTTTCTCTTTTATATACTTCACTCTCCATAACATCACTCCTTTAACCAGTCGGCTCCCTTTTCTCAAGACTATACCCAGAAGTGATAACTTTTAAGACATGGGCTTTAGAATTTTTCTCTCTTATATAGCCTTACAGAAAAAGAACAGACGGTTTATTCCCTCCAAAAGATTGGCATGATCATTATTACCAAATCTGGTATTGTTTACTTTTTGATAGTTAGACTAGATATATCTAAATAACTGGTATACAACTATTATTATCTGAAAGTATTCAAGGAGTTGTGTCCCACTGTATCCAGAAAGATATGGTAGCCAATGCCAATGCAGCTAACAATAAGCTAGGTTAGTTTGCAGACGTTATGCTAGTGATTGGAGAATTTAGTAGGATAATATATGAAGACCAGGAATTCTAGTTACCCTCACAACACGAGCTGATGATGACAATGAAAGTTTCTCGCTTACCTCTCTGACAATGTAGGCTCATTGTACAAGGTTAGGTATCAACACCTTTAAGAAAATCTAACTCTACCACACATTTGACATCTTCCTCAACAAACCATCACCTTACATTCAAACCTATTCTCTATACTCTCCAGTTCTATTTTATCCAAAACTAAAACATACCCTTCAAAGCTATTCTGACAGTAAGATTAATTGTTGCCTCTCAGCCTACAGTCCTAGTGATGGGTTTCAAAATAGGAGGTTAATACTAGGTAAAAATAGTAAAAGATTAATGTTGCCAAGGAGCTGCATTGGTATTAAAGACGATTGCCACCTTCCAGCCTTTAGTCCTAGTGATGGGTTCGAATGAAAGGTCAATGCTAGGTACAAATGGTGAAAAATCTGCTTTATTTTGATATATTTGATGTTAGTATAGCTTGGAATATACATGTTGTTGAAATTCATAAATTCTTGACGCAATTGATGCAATTATTTGACACAATTAATTGAGTCACTATTAAAACATATAAATAATTAAGTCATGACACAATTATTTTTGAGGATTTTGGGAATTGAGTCAACAGCAAATAATTTATATCACATGTATAGATAATATCTATGGCAAATAAAGCTACATGATTACTGCTTGCTCCATCAGGGATAAATTCCTTTATCACCATTTGCAGCCAGACTAACCATTTAATTTCTTACTTGTTTAATGATACCCAAGAATGTTCAAGGTAATTATAACTAGTGCTTACTGCCTGAACACTGACTTACACATTGCAGGGAACAGGACTTATAGCCATAAGCCTTCTCAGGATAAGTACTACCAAACTGGTTTATTACTGAATTGGGATGAGACTAGAATAAGAATCTGCATGAAAAACATCAGATATTAGGGGAAGGATCACTAAACCTACTCATTAAAAGCAGACACCTTATATATCTTGAAACTTCAGGCAATTATTATAACATCAACCAGACGATCATCACGCTACAACACCTTTTATGAAGATCACAATCCCAATGTCCTATTGAATTAGCATGCAAATGACTTCTTATGGAAAACAGGGCTTAACAGGTTATAGCTCCAGATACTATTTTTAATTCGGTTCAACTGCCTTCATTTGAAGTTGAACTGGTATTTTGTGATCTGACTTGTGGAGTGTTAACCACTATACTATGGACTCACAGGTCTATATGATCTTTATTGATATGAATAATAGAATATAATTAATATTATTTATTGTTATCTCTTAAATTATAATGCAAACAAATTTGTCTGCATATTTAAAATTTCAATAAGTTTTTAAAAATTTTATTAAAATTTTAAATATTGATTTTTATAATTTATTTATATTATAAAAATATAGTTTAAAATATTTTTAATTAACTTTATTAAGTAAAAAATTAAAATTTTATTATAAATTTTTAAAATAAAACTTTAAACTTCGTGTTTAAAATTTTAATATAAAAAATTATATGAAATTTGGTATATATTTAAAGTAAAAAAATTATTTTACTTTTAATATAAGGGAGAGGGGAGTATTGTGATAAGGGTAGGTAATGTGACAAATTATCAAAAAAAAATGAAATTTGCATTATTGATATTATGCAACTGTTATGCATATTTAGACATTATATTGGACATAATAAGTGATGTAAAATGAATATTACATAAAATTAATTTTATTTATTATTATTTTTTTTTTTGTGTTTAATTTTTTTTTTAATTTTTTTTTTATTTAATACTGAATACATATTTATTTATTAGTATCGCGGTTATAACATGACGTGTGTATATATATTTACTAATATCACGTGACTAATACTTAAAAAAATTATAATATACATGTATAAATAAATAATCTTTAATTCTAAAAAATAAAAAAATAAAATGCCAAAAATAAAATCAAAAAAAACACCTAAAATTGATCAAATTACATATGAAAATACTATCAAAACCATCCTCGAATCTCTCGCAAGTCCTGAACACTCTAGCATGCTTGCAACTGCATCAAAATTTGGAATTTTAGAAACAACACTTAGATGTGCAAAAAAAAATGACTTTCCTAATCGTCCTGGTCCTACAACAGTTTTAAGTAATCACGAAGAAGAACAATTAGTAGAATATTGCAAGAATATGCAAAAAATAGGATTTGGTCTTACGAAATTGGGAATAAATCATTGTGTAATAGAAATTGTGTAGAGTAACAAACGTAATCATCCTTTTAGCAACAAAGGACCTGGCAAGAATTGGTGAACACGTTTTATGAAAGATCACTCTGATCTGTCTTTTCGAGTATCTCAAGCCCTATCTGAAGCATATGTACAAAGGGCTAATCCAATTATTGTAAATGATCACTTTGAAAAGCTCAACAAAATAATTCAAGAAAACCCACTCACTGCAGATCGTATTTGGAACATGAATGAAACTGGCTTTATTATGTCCCCTAAGGTTCAAAAAGTCCTTGTTATAAAAGGTGCCCGTCAAATTCATAAGGTCTTACATGGCAATGTTTATGATCATATTTCCATTGCTCTGACAATCTCTGCTGCTGGTTATTACATCCCTCCATTAATTATTTATAAGGGTATTCATGCAATTCCAGGTTTATTAACTGGAGCTCCAGCTGGTACCATTATGGATTTTACCAAAACAGGGTATATGCATGAGAATCTCTTTCAGATATATATTGAGCATTTTATCAAATCGATTCTGCCTAGTCATCCTGTTTTACTAATATTAGATGATCATAAGTATACATGTTTCCTTATTACCATAAAAGAAAATTTGATCGACAATATGATTCTGAATTAAATATGATTTTCAATTACTTACTAATTGTTACTTAGTAATACAAACATAATATGGTTTTTGAAAAATGTCTGAATTAAATACAAACACATGTATAATTATAAGAGCCATATGAATTATATAAGTGTTGACTTTTGCTCTAAAAACGAAATTTTGCTCTACGCACTTCCACCTCATACCACCCACATTCTTCAGCCAGCTAAACTTCCCTTTGCCAAACTTAAAAATGAGTATAGTAAAGGCTGTAATAAATTATATAATGATAATGAAGAGTTAGCAACTAAGCATACTTTCGCTAAAATACTTGGACTGGTATTTCTTGCGACTTATACTTTTACAGCGATTACCAATGCTTTCAGAGTTACAGAAATTTGGTCTTTAAACCCTAATGTAATTGATTTTGATAAACTTGAACCTTCTCTACCAACAGAACAATTTAAAACCTTACCTCAACAAATGCTTCCTATTGATACGATGCCATCTTCGCCCAGTACCACGTTATCTTCTCAACCAACCTGTAAGTATTTTACGTGAGCCACTATTATTGAGGAAAATGATCGATTAAGGATAGAGAATGAATCTTTAAAAAAAGAAAACGAAATATTAAAAAATGAGAAGAAAGGTTATAATTTAATACAAAAAAAACTAGAAGCATTAAAAAATCCTGGAACTTGCTCATTAAGACTGGCACTTAAATATCTTGCATCTCGACAAGCTAATAATTCTGAACCATCCCAGCTACAAAAAAGAAGGAAGACATTACCATTTGCCTGACTTCTCACTAATAACGATTCGCTACAGAAACTAAAATTAATAGATGAATTAGCGAAAAATAAGGCCAAAGCTATAAAACAAAAAAAAAAGAAACTCTCCAAAAGTGAGCAAATCATGAAAAGAAAAAGGCACAAAAGAAAGCTGAAAGTATATAAAAAAAGAAGAACAAATTTGTACAAAAATGCTTAGTAAGAAAAATAATAGTAATATGAGTTAAAGTTTTGCAAATTTTATACTTATGTACATGTACATAATGATCTGCATCATTCGCCACATTACTCTTCAAGTTAAAATAATCAAAATACAGGTTTTTTTAAATAAATTTGTTGAATAAAATATAAAATTTTTTTGGTTATTATAAAGTAAATAGTAT